GTCACAAGCACCAGAGAACTGCTGCAAGACTTACAAAGTCCTTCTCCCTCTGGTGCCTCTCCTCTGCCTCCTTCAGCATTTCCTGGGCCTGCTGCAGTTTGGCATCCACCAGCTGCTGCTGCAGGTCCTTGTGCTTGAACACCTTGTCGATGTGCTGCCAAGGGAACACCACAGCTCACACCACAGCTCACTGCAGGCTCAGCCCAGGCTGTGCCCCTGAGGGAAGGTCCCAGCTCCCAGCTGTCCTCTCTGGAAGCAGGAAAACATTTCCCTGGGCAGATATCCTGCCCTGACCCACCTCCTCCCTCAGCTCATACTGCTCAATGAGCTTCTTGAGCCTCTCTGCCAGCTCCATGTTCTCCTGGCGCAGCTTGGAGTTCCTCTCGTTGTGCTGCTCCATCTGGAGCTGGATGTCATTCAGAGTCACCTGAAAGTGGGATGTCACCTCCTTCCTCTTCTCCTCTTCCTCCCGCGCGCGCTGGACACCTTCCTCCTGCACGAGGAGCACGTCAGGCAGAGAGCAAACTGCCCACACTGATGTTCTGAACCCACTCAACCTCCTACTATCCCTTAGATCCATCAGGAGAGACCTCTGGGCCTTTCCCCAACCTCCTGCTATCCCTTAAATCTATCAGGAAGGACCTCTGGGCCTTTCCCCAACCTCCTGCTCTGCTACTCCTCCATCAGAAAGGACCTCTGGATCTTTCCCCAACCTCCTGCTATCCCTTTTATCCATCAGGAAGGACCTCTGGGCCTTTACTTTTCTTTTCTCCAGTGGATACATCCCGAAATAACACTCTGGCTTAATGCTGGCTTAAAGCACTGCCCTGATGGCAGACTGTGAGCAAAGGTGAGTGCCAGGCTGGCTCATAGTGATCCAAGAGCTTGGGATGGAGCAGCCCTGGGAGCAGCAGCCCTGGGAGCAGAGCCTGGAGCCACTTGCCTTGAGGGTACGATTGTGCCTCTGGAGCTCTCGGCACAGACTCTCCAGTTTGCTGCGTGCCAGGATGGCCTTGCTGTGCTCACTCTGCAGGTGATCCTTCTCCTGCACCAGCTGTGTCTGCTTCTTCTGCAAGATCTTCATCTGCTTCTGGGAGTTACGGTGCTCTTCCAGCTGGGAAAGGGGAGAAAAGGGCATGGATGGAGCAGGGCAGAGCGGTGTGCCCTGCTCAGGGAGCCCCTCGAGTACAGGAGCTTTGTGACAAAAAGGTGACACTTCTGAGCAGGGCAGGAGTGACAGAGAGCCCAAAGTCTCCTGGACAGGGCCTTTGTCCTCCCTGAATTCCCATCCTGCTGGAATCTGAGACCTGCACGTTCACCCAACATCTTCACACACATTGCCCCAGTGAAGCAGAACTCTGAAACCAACACAGGGACACTCTGGACATGTACAGGTAGTCCAACACCTCTCCTGCTCCAGATCCATTCCTGGAGCTAGAGCTGTGCCCAGAACTGACTGTGGTTAAAGGTTTTTTCTGTGGAAACATATCTGAGTTCCTCTTACACCCACATCTGTCCACACTTACACCTCACACCCATCCTCTTGTATCCCAAATATCCAGCACTGCAGAGATCCCACAGCACTGCAAAGCTCCAGTGTGTCCCTGGAAAGTCCCTCTGAAGAAAACAAACCTCCAGCTCTCTCCTGCCTCCCTGAGCTGCTGTGTCCTCCCCCAGACCTGCAGCCCAGGACTCACCAGCTCAGCGTATTTCTTGCACAGTGCTGCCAGTTTCTCCTCTGGTGTGCTCAGGGTGTTCAGTGTCTGCATCAGCAAAGTGATTTCCTTGCCTGGAATGAAACATGAGGGTTTAAATAAAGGATAAAATGGCTTGCACAGAGCTCTGTCTTCAAAGGGTAAAGAGAGAAGGGACCATGGAAGTCACAGAGCTGAGCCTGCCCTGGGGCAGAGCTGCTATTCCTGGTGCTCTGCCCCATGGATTTCACTGGGTTTTGCAGCAGGAACCACCACTGGGCTGGCAGGAGCCAGATGTCTCCAGCAGAAGAGAAACCCATGGAATTCAGAGCCTGCAGCAGCTCTGGGAGGTGTCAGTGCCTTCACCCACTGACTACATTCCTCACACCCCACAGGACACTGTGCCAAACCCAAACCAATGTCTGTGCTAACATCCTCAAGCTGCAGCACAGCCTGAGCAGGGAACCCTTACCTAAACCCTTGGCTTTCTTCTTCTCCTGAGCTTTCTTCTGATCCCTGTCCCCACATTCCTCTCCGGGTCGGAATTCCTCAGTGCCTTTGGTGCTTTCCTTCTCCCCGTTCATCTCGGGGCCAACTGGTTCCTGCTCCCCGTTCCTGGGGGACTCACTGCAGCCCTTCTCAGGCTCCTCAGGCTCGGGGGGCTCCCCCTGCCCCCCGTCCTCCCCTGGGCCCTCCTGCCTGGCATCCACACAGTAGGTGTTGAGGATGTCCTCGAGCTGTCGGCTCAGCTCCTCGGAGACGTCGCGCACGGCACTTCGGGAGGGCTTGGAGTCCTCCTGGGTGAGAGGAGCTGTGGGGGGACAGGGACACAAAGCATGAGGCTCCCCCCACCCTGCTAAACACACACACACACACACAGAGGGAAGGGGAGGTTTCCTGGCTGGACTTGCAGCAACATAAGCTGCTTTGTTCAGGCTGCTCCCAGCCAGCTGCCCTGACAATGGCAGGGCATTCCCCACAGCCTCCTTTGATCAGCAGAGCATGACCAAGCCCCTGACATCTGTCAGGAGCAAGAATTCCCTCCCCTCCCACCAGCCTTTAAGGAAAGCAAGTTGGGTGGGAGCTCTCTCCCCCCCCCCCTAAGCACTGGCAGCTCCTATCCCCAGGGTTTGGCTTTTTAGCATTACAATGGATTTTAAACCTGGAGGAGCCTCTCCTGGCTGGAAGGGCAGCTGGATGTAACATCCCTGGACAGCAGACACCACATCCTGCCTCCAAACCTCCTCTAAATGAGAGGCTTAGAGCAGTTGGTTATTAAATCTCTCCTCACTGTGTGTTTCTTATACCCTCAGGCATTGGAATACCACAGGGTTCATTTTAACCAAGCTCCTTCTCCATCAGACCTGGTTGTGTCTTCCAGAGGATAATTCTGATGGAGTGGCAGGAACTCTCTGAGCTTTCTTCAAGGGAAGAGCTGTCTGACATACCCTGAATGGGACCCTTAAGGCCAAAATCACAACAAACAAGGTGAGAACTGACTCCATGATTCAGTAGGGAAGACAGAACTTCTCCAAGACACAGAAATAGGGAAGAAACCAGAATTTTCCACCCTGGAAATCACAGCTGCTTTTGCACAAGGAGCTGGATAAGAGTTGCCCAGCCTCATGCAGAGAAAGCAGCACCCTGACTCTTTCCACAACCTCACACATTCCAGGGAATGCAATGCTGGGAGTGCCATGGGCAGGAACAGGACCCTCAGCCCCAAGGATCCCACACCTTCTGGGGGTGCTGCAGCCTCTGGAGAGTCTCCCTCCTCCAGCCCCATCCCACTGCTTGCTTTGGAGGTGCTGCTGGGCCGTGGGGCTGCCTTGGTCTCCACACCTTGGTTCTTCATCCTTCTCTCCACTCAGACTCCCCAAACCCTGCAGAAACAGAGACAGACTTCAGGAATGGTTTGGAGGACTTGAGGAGTCCCTGCACTGGGAAGGAGCTCGTAGTCAGCAGAAGGTGTTAGCACAGCTCTGTGCATCGTTTGGTTTCCAGTTTGTACCTCCCATGGAGTTCTCTGTGTCAGGATAACTCCTCTCCCACCTGAGGAGAGCTGGAAGTCCCTCCTGGAGAAAGGCAGCACCTCCCAACCCACAGACAAGAGAGTTTTCTTACTCAGCTGGACACAACCCACTCAGCTCTGGTTGTCCTTCCCCATTGTCCCAACTCCTGGATTTCAAACCTGACAGAGACACCCTCAGGCTGTGGCAGGGACCAGGAGCTCCCACAAAGGTCAATCCCTGGGCCCACACTCCTTCCTGGGATGGAAAGGATGAGCCAGCAATGCTGACAGCCCAAAATCCCAACTCCTCTCTCCTCATCCCATCTCCCTCCACAGGATTTGGATGTTCTCAATGCCCCCACCCTCTACTCTGGTTATTGCACTAATGGTGAGCTGAGGATGCTGATGCTCCTAATCTGGGGGTGAGAGGCTGTTCCTAATTCAGAGGTGAGAAACTGCTGCTAATCAAGGGATGAAGGACTGATCCTAACTTAGAGGTGAGGGGCTGTTCCTGGTCTGGGAACAAGCAGCTGTTCCTAAACCAGAGATGAGTAAGGAGTTGCTCCTAGTCTGGAGGTGAGGGATTGCTCCTGGTCTGGAAATGAGGAACTGTACTGAATCCAGAGGTGAGGAACTGCTCCTAAGCCAGGGATGAGGGTCAGATCCTAACCCAGAGCCGAGAGGCTGTTCCCTGAGCAGGGACAGTCCAGGCTCGAGCTCAGGCAGGAAAATCCCGAGGGAGAAGCACCAGCGGCGGCATCAGCCAAGCACATGTGTCACCTCCCACGTGCGGAGCTGCCGCGGCCCCGACA